TAAATAAAATAAAGAAAAGAATGGAGTTTGAATCCACACTAGGTTTCGCTGTTCTGTGTTTTGAAAGGACTAGGAAGCAACTGAAAAGACTATGTGTAAAGGACAGAATGAGGCAAGAACCAAGGTTGATGGATTTGCATGGAGACTTTAAAGCTCATGAAAATATTCTGTCATGATGATACACACAATCTCTCAACTCAGTTCTCCAAGACAACCTACCTGGTCCATTGGACCTTCTTTCTGACTCAGACACACCTGTTATACTCTGCAACAACATTGGGAACCAAAACAGACTTTCAAGGAAGATTTTCCTTGGTAGGGGAGGAAGGCAACAGAGGGGAGGAGAAAACCACCTAAAACTGGCTATACATTAAGCTCAGCACTGTCTGAGATGGCACAGGAATCACAGTAGGATCCTGGACTGACAGGGCAGGAAGGACCTCTGGAAGTATTTTCAATTAATTCATCCAAACACACGCACACACACACACACCTGCTCACATACTTGTGCGTGCACATATTTCCACACTTGCTGAAATCTTGTCTTCATCTTCCCTGATGAGGATTCCTCACTCAGCCACTGCTGAACCTACAGGAACCTCACTATTACATGCTGGTTTTTATTTAGTTTTTCTCTGCAGGCTAAGGGTGTACCCAATCAAGAACTGACATGAGTAAAAATTATACATGGGTGACTCATTTTATTAAACTAATTTCATTATCTTACAAAGGTGGTGGAATTAACTACTACAAGCACACTAGTTATATAGTATTTTGTGGGACCAGAGCACACAGACATAGCCAACTTCATACAGATCCATTAGACAACTGGATTCAGAGCAAGTTTTTTAAATAATAAATGGCAAAGCAGCTTTCTTTTCAGAAACAAATGGAAGAATTACAGTGTTCAACCTTCACATGCATGAGTCTCCACACACAACGCATCCAAGTCTTGCATTTGTAACAGCCCTTTCTACATGCACTTGATCTTCTCTATCTTGGTTCCAAGTTTTATCTTCATTCTCAGTTATGCCAATTCCATTGCTACTTACAAAGGAAAAGTCTTCCCAGTTATTGTCAGAAACTACTATTTAACTTACTCCCTCCACTCATCAGCAAACCGCAGAGAGGATGCACACCTATAAGCAACCAGCAACCTGTCGTGTCATGCATCACACGGGACCCTGGCGACACAGAGTCCTGGCCCTATTCATAAAATCTCTGCAACTTTCAACCACGTGTCAAAGAACATACCCTCTCCCACATATATGTAGGCACAACCATCACGTACGCGAAGCCCTCTCTCTAATCTAGTTACAATTATGTTAAGTGCTACAAAAAAGAAAAAAGCAAAGGAAGGAAGGAGAGAAGGTAGGAAGGAAGGAAGGAAGGAAGGAAGGAAGGAAGGAAGGAAGGAAGGAAGGAAGGAAGGAAAAAAAGAAAGAAAAAAAATGTTCAGGATATAATGGGAGGGACCTAGAAGGAAAAACCTAATTTATTCTTAAAAATCAGGGAACGCTTTCCTTGAGAAGTGAGGTTTCAGCTGAGACCTTAGGAATTCGAATTTTCCCTAGCTAAACGGAGAGGTCAGGGATGTGATGCAGGAACCAGTGACCGTGGCAGTGGGTGCCTAGGACTGCACTCTGACTAGGACTGAGAGAAAACATGGAGAGAATGAAACTATTGATGTGCTAGGATGAAGTCATTGCTTGTTTTCATAAATTTTACTTTCATGAAAATATGAGAGGAAAACATGATAAAAGCAAAGCCCAGCACCTGCCCGAATACAGCATCCCTGTGCACCTACCATGGTCTGATGTGGTCACCTCAGCAAGCGTTAGCTTAGGAGAAACTGCGGTGGGTTGAGCTAAAACTTCAGGTAGGGACATTCAGGGACAAGTTATTGACCTCAAGACATGATCACACATGTCAGAACTTCCCACTGCTGAAGGACTTGGAGAACACTAACATTCCCCACTAGCTATGGGGAACTTATCTTCTCTCCTCTCCTCCCAAAGCCCAACGTGTCTTTCTTAACTTTTTCAGTGGACCAAAGTTGGTGTGCCTCTGGGCTGAGCAGCTGTTTCTCCTGTGTGTGGCCTCACTGCACCCTTGATCCCACTGCTCCCTATTTCTAGTTTACACCACCCTGATGACCTGATATTGGAAGAAACAAATCTCGAGGGAGACTTGCAACTAAGGTCTTTCCTATCCTGTTATCAGCAGTCTTCTCTGGCTCTCCATGTGCGCTCTCTCTCTTGCTCGCTCTCTCTCTGTTTTTATCCCTTTTGCTTCTTTGCATCCTTTCTTTCCTTGACCTTCAAAGTCTCCCCAGCCAAGCAAGGCTCCTTCAAGAGCCTTCAAAGTCTCTTTTAAAATTATATTAAAAGGCGGGCGCCTGGGTGGCTCAGTTGGTTAAACGACTGCCTTCGGCTCAGGTCATGATCCTGGAGTCCCTGGATCGAGTCCCGCATCGGGCTCCCTGCTCGGCAGGGAGTCTGCTTTG